TTGGTTGAGTGTATAACTGAACGGGGATTTGAAACGTGAAAGCAAATGTAACCACAAAACAGAAAATATCGATACATATCAAAGTTCATAGAATGCCTCATATTTTGATATCGGTCGTTTCTGAGTTTGCATGACAAGTGTGCAGTTTTGCGTCAAGTGGACGACCGATTTCTGCCACATTTTTAATGCAGTTTCTAGTATGTCCTCTTTCGTAGATTTGACTCGATCAGTCAATTTTATATATTTAGGGATCGATTGCAGCGCAAAACGAGTGCGTGAGCAGGATGCGTAGGCAGAAAGGAAGTCATCGATTTTTCTTAGCTTATAATGACGAATGTTATGAAAAGCACTGGTATTTTATGTGCTCTTACCAATCTGTGTAGTCTACATTAAATTTCAAATGCGTCAATTTAACACCCATTGACATTTTAGTTGTTTCCTTTAGAATTAGAGTTGTTGTATAAATTATAAAAATTAGAAAGTTCCAAAAAAGCGAGTTCGTTCTAAAAAACAAAATGTTATTCTGTAGCTATGCATGTCGCTGACGCACTCTTCGCAGCGTCCCCAAAAAATAATAATATTAGTTGGAAAAGAAATCAAACGAAACGAAATCAAACTCTGAAGAAAGCACGGCTTTACCAACGGCAGAATCCGATCTTTACCTTCTTAGCGTAAATCTGCGTGCGTATTGTTTGATTACCCAGAGTCAGCAAATATTATCGCGCCAAATTATCGGCCGACTGAGACATTAGAAAATAATTCCCCATTGAGAAAAAAATAGTAACACAAGATAAATCAAAAGGAAAGTGATCGTCTGTACTTGACAACTTCAAAGGTTAAGTTACAGTCTAAAAAATTACTGTACCTGGAGCAACTCTTGGAAAGCTGAAGTAAGGTGGGTACTGTCTTCACCAGCTGCAGCTGCTTCAACTGACTTGATTGTCTGCAAAAAAAAACTTGCGAAAGAGAGTGGGAACAAAACAGAAGAGCTTAACTTTACCTGGGCAAATTTTGTCTTTGCAAGAGCTAAGTTTTCTGCTTGCGCTTTCAGATTCTTTGTTTTAGTCTGCCTGATCGTGTCAACTCTTTGCAGTAATTCCCGTTTCCTTTCCTCCAACGCACTCATATGCAAATGCATAAGTGATCTTAATTCTGACGCAGCAGCCTAAAAACAAATCCGGTATGACGAAATTACAGTTAAAGTGAAAAGGATGTGATACAGTACCTGCACACTAGCATCAACCCGTTCAGACATTGCTCGTACACTTTCAATTGCTTCTTCAATACTGCGCTCATTTCGCCGAGACTCCGCCAAAAGCGAACTGATGCAAGCACGTGGGTCACCTAAATGGTCAGAAAATAAACAAATCGATCAGAAACGAAACAAATCAAAGAGAACTTAAAAAATCTCATAACAACAAAGTTCTAGTGAACACTTGCGCACTAAGGTTTCTGCTTTATGCTTTCAAGGTGCAATATTGTCATTTTGTAGAAGCTGAGCGAAGTGAATTTAAATGATGACTTCAGTTGCTGTTTTTGTATGTACTACATACATGAAAACATAATATTTTCAACAATTTCTGTGCAATCTTTCCACCCTTCGGATTGGCTACATATCATCACAGTTAGATTCTACGT